ATTATTATTATTATTATTATTATTATTATTATTATTATTATTTCGGGCAAAACGCTCATGATTCGGGCAACGACACTTGAGAGAAAACATTAGCGTCAAAATAAAGCTATTGGCGTGATTTCCAAAACTAGTAAAAAAACGTTTCTTCTTTTTTATTAATCTCTTTGTGATTAGACGCCCTATTGGGAGTCTGTAGGCCGTCAAGTGACCTGAGGATTTTTAGTAGCTACAAGTCGTTTAAATGTGTATCGTGGAAATCCACAGTAAGGATATTATTTCCTTTCCCAATTTTCCATCAACAAAACAAGGACACGAATCTAAGCGAACGAAGACCAAGCTAAGACTTTTGTTTTTGTGGAAGCCCTAAAAAGAGCCGTTTGGAATGTCTTAACCATGGAGTGTTTTAATTTCTTTCTTGAATTTTTCTTTGGAGGTGTTTCTCTAGTACGTCCATGTTGTTTACCATAATATTGACGTGGTTTCTGAATTCATGGAAGGCTTGAATTCATGGATGCCTCATGTTGTTCTTTGAACGTCTCAAGTATGTCGAGACGCTCGTCTCGAATATAGGATAGCTTCTGTAACGGTCGTCCAAACTGTGCATCTTGAAACACAAATGTCTCTGTTGCTGATTAGCCGATCTCTGAACGAACGCCTTGAAAGGAAGAACTTTTTCTTTTAATAAGTTTTCGATTTTACTCGATTGAGACTGTTCATAGAGGTCATTGAGTACGCAAGCTTTCAATATAACTATCTTTGTGAACGTTTTTGTTTTTCACGCAATTTATTTGAGTACGTTTGCATCCCGATTTCAACACTCACACATTCGGGCGTTGTTTAATTTTTTCGGGCAAGAAAGTCCCCGCCACCAAGTCCGAAGGTGCCCGTACGCTTATGCAAGCTCTCATTGAACAAGGCAGTTATTCTACAACTAAAATGAACAGTAAGCGTTCTTGGGAAATAACATGCCCACTTCTCGAACGAAATGCCATGCTTCGGAAAAAGTCTTTGCTCCCAGTTTGATGACTGATCGAGGATTTCGGTACTTTTCAGCTTAATTTTATGATGGTGTCACACGTGGTGTTAAGATTAAAGAGAATTTGACCCATAAACCCATCCACAAATCTAACCATCCTTACACTTGATTTTGAACGGGTTTATGCCCAACTTTGACGTTACGAGATGTTGTCACCTAAAAGTGGTATTAGTCATGGTAGTCTGCAAACCACATTTTTTGACTTCTCTCGTACTTGGTATTTTCATAAACAGGCTAGTGATTGAAAAACTCAAGAAAACAATCATCGCAATAAGATGAGATGGATTGTTAAGGTACGTAAGCAATACTACTGACAAGCACCGAAATATTTTTGTCTGCTTATTCTGCGGTTTCCTCAGTCATCAAACTTATGTGTTTGCTT